CCCGCGCCCCCACTTCCCGCTACCCATTTTCCAACGCTGTATCCCCTCCACCGCTCACTCACCGCTCCGACCTCTCCGCGCCGCGGTCCAGCGCCCGAGACCCGCCGCTTACCTGGTTTCTCGTTCGCCTCCGCGTGCTACGAGAAGCGCCGCCCAACGCCGGTTATCCGTCGCGCGCCGGCACTCTAAGGGCCTCGTTTCCGGCCTCCTAAATCCCCCACTGTAGTTTTCTCTCACTGGACTGCTGGGTTGTCATTCGTAAGAAGCGAAAGTGATGATTGGACCTAGTGGAAGGTGTCAGGACCATTGGTGAAGAAAGGAAAAGAGGGCAGCCCCAATGCCTGAGTTTCATTGGTTGACCTAGAAATAGGCGTGTCCGAAAAAATTGAGGTGAGCGCCGCTTCACGTTTTATCACGTGACTTAGATTAAGCACCAACCCACACCCGCGCCGCCATCTTTATTATTGGCAACTGAAAGCCAGTTATTTGGTGCGTGGCAGGTTGGTTTGTTTGGGTTTTTTTTGGTACTAATGAACCCAGGGCCTTCGCTCTGAGCCACAACCCCAGCTCTCTTTTGTTTGTTTCTAATTTTATTTTATTTTTTGTTTTTCAAAATAGGGCCTCACTATGTAGTTCAGGCTGGACTCGAACTCACAGCAATCCTCCTGCCTCAGCCTCTCCAGTGCTGGGATTACATGCGTGCACCACTACACCCAGCACTCTAATTTTATTTTGAAACACAGTCTCGCTATATTGCCCGGGCTGAGCCTCCCACCTCAGCTTCCCAGAGTGTTGCACTCGACTTGCCCAGCTTTTTGAAATGTGGCTTTTGGCTGTGACCATGGCTCCTAGACATCAACAGCCAGCCTCCATGTAGCCCACAGTGAAGGCTCTCTGAAAGAGCTCTGAGAAGATGAGGCAGTTTGAAGTGACGATTGTATATTCGGGGTTGTTTTGTTTTTTGTTTTTTGTACCTTGGATTGAACTCAGTCCTTGCGCTTGCAAGGCAGGCGGCAGAACCACTGACTGAGCTAAATGCCCGGCCTTGTACATTCGTTTTTTTAAAAAAAAGCTTTTTATATTAGTACACATTGCTGGGCAAATCAATCATTTGTTCTTCTCTTGCCAAGTGATGTGCCACTGTGCCACCATACTACAACATATTCACCAGTTGATCAATTGGTTGTTTGGGCAGGTTTTTTGTCTTTTTTTTTTTTTTTCTTTTGTACCTGGGATGTGAACTCACCCTTGCACTTGAGAGACAGGCAGTGGCACTACTGAGCTAAATCTCCAGCCCCCCACCCTTTTTTAAAACAGAGTCTAAGTCACTAATTTTCCCAGGCTGGAGTCGAATTTATGATCCTCCTGTCTCAGCTTCCAAAGTGCTGGATTTATAGAAGTGGTCACCACACCCAAAACATGTTTAGTCAGTTTTTGTTTTTGCAGTGCTGGGGATTGAAGCCACGCCCTAGTGCATACCAGGCAGGCCTTCTACCACCCAACTACACCTTAAGCCTCTTTTTTTCTTTTGGTACCAGGGATCGAACTCTGAGACCTTGGCTCGCAAAGTAGGTGGCTGAACCACTGAGCTAAATCCCAGGCCCACCTCTTTTTTTTTGTTGTTGCTTTTGAGACTTGAGTTTCCCTCATTTGCTCTTTCTTTTTTCTTTGTGGGGTGTTTTGTTTTGCTGCTAAGGGCACTAGGGATGAATCCAGTAGGTACTCTAACACTGAGCTACATTTCTAGATCTTTTTTTGTTTTGTTTTGTTTTTTGAGACAGGGTCTCACTGTGTAGTTGAGACTGACCTGGAATTCACTACATAGCCCAGGCTGGCCTCGAACTCACAGCACTCCTCCTGCCTCAGACTCCCAAATGCTGGGATTACAGGTGTATGACACCAAGCCTGGCAAGATCTTTTTAACGTTTTATTTTAATCTGGGTGTAGTACAAAGCTCTGTAATACTAGTCCTCAGGAGGCCAAGGAAAGAGGATCACCATGATGTTGAGGCCAGCCTGAACTACATAGTGAGAACTTGACTCAAAAAATAAATAAATAAAAAATTTTATTTGGCTGGGGATTTAGCTCAGTGGTTCTGCCACCTGTCTCACAAGCACAAGGTCCCAAGTTTGATCCCAGGTTTTACCAAAAAACAAAACAAAACAAGAACAACAAAAAACGAAAAAATTTAAGACCGGGTCTTACTAGGTTGCCCAGGCTGGCCTGGAACCTGTATTCCTCCTGCCTCAGCCTCCCCAGCAACTAGAATTACAGATGTAAACCAGAGCACAGGGCTTGCTTGTTTGTTTTTGAGGCTGGGTCTGAATCCCTAGGCTTAGGCAATTCTGCCTCAGCCTACTGTGCCCAGCTTGGCCTTTGTTAATAAAGCTGGCACAAGTATTTTGGTGAACGTGAGTACTCATTTCTCTAAATACCGAGGGACAGGATGGGTGAGCCATCAGTCATGTGTTCAGCTTTCGTGGCCTGAAACTGGGACTGGCACCCTGTGAAAGTTCCACTTACTCCTCATCCTTGTAACTGGTGTTGGCAGTCTTTTCTTAGCGGTGCACTGATTTGGGTATTTGAAGAGGATGGAAGTCAACTGTAAATAGGATGAGCCTGCTGTGCCATTCCTGTGTCCCTCACTAGAGGTAACTTCCTCTAGTGTTTTGGTTACAATACTGGGGAATTAAACCCAAGGGTGCTCTACCACTGAGCTCCATCCCCAGGCTTTGGTGAATTGATTTTTTTTTTTTTTAAGTCAGGGTCTCACTATATAGTCCATGTTGCCCAGGCTGGCCTCAAACGTACAGCAGTCATCCTGCCTCAGCCTCCCAAATGCTGGGATTACAGGCATGCGCCATCACAACCAGCTTTAAACCCTTTTTATAGAATTATTTTTTACATTTAAGACAGAGTCTTGTTAAATGACCAGGCTGTGGCCTCAAAGTTGAGATCCTCCTGCCTTAGCCTCCCAAGCTGCTGGGATCACAAATGTGCACCGTGGAACTCAGCTCCTCCACTGTTTTCCAAAGTGGCTCTAGAATGCAGACTGTTTTTAGTACAAGTGACCTTGAGTCCAGGAGCCAGACAACAAACTCAGAGCCGAAGTCACTAGACAGCTAACTTCAGCCAGACAACCGAATGAGGCAGTTGTTAAGCAACCGGAGGAGGCTTGCCGTCCTGCTCAGATTCTGTGTACAATGTGGGTGGCCAAATGCTTCGCTCCTTCTGGGTGCCCAGTGCAGCCAGGAAAGGATGCGGGAAGCAGGCTGGGGATGTAGAACAGTGGTAGAGCACTTGCCCAGCCTGCGTAGGCCCTGGGCTCGGTCCTCAGCCCTTTATAAACATACCCATTGGGGAGAGGGTGGGACAAAATAGACACTGGCAACAGGGGCAAAAATAAGGGGCTGCCAATAACTCAGTCTATAGAGAAACAGTAGTTGGGCGTGGTGGTGCAGATCAGCAGGTCCAGCACTTGGGAGGCTGAGGTAGGAGGATTGCCTTAAATTTGAAGCCAGCTTGGGCTACATAGTGAGTTCAAAGCCAGCTTGAATTACAGAGCAAGACCTTGTCTCCAAGAAAAGAAAGAAAAAGAAAAACGGTATTTCAGCTAGGCATGGCAACAAATGCCTGTTATCCCAGAACTGTGGGAGGCTGAGGCAGGAGGATCACAAAACCAAGTGCAATCTGGACAGCTTAGGGACTTAGTGAGACCCTGTCTCAACATAAAAATAAAAGGGGCTGGGGATATAGCTCAGTAAGAAAGCTTTGGGTTTCATCCTCAGTACCAAAACATTTTTAAAAAGACAAAGTATCTCTCCTTTTTTTTTTGACACAGTTTTGCTATGTAGATCAAGCTGGCCTCAAGCTCATTATGTAGCCCAGGCTGGTTTCAAATTTGAGGCAATCCTCCTGCCTCAGCCTCCCAAGTACTGGGATTACAGGTGTGCACCACCACACCCTGCAAAAAACCAGTATTTTAATGCAATATTTTATGTGGGTTTTTTTTCCCCCAGTTCTGGGGATGGAACCCAGGGCTCCATGTGAGCTAGACCAGCCCTCACCACTGAGCCTCACCCCAGCCCCCAGCCCCTTCCTTAAGGCTGCACTCTGAGGGGGTGACAGACTCAGCCAGGTATCTGGGCAGCCTGGAGTCTTCATCGATCCCTAGGGAGAGAGGAGGGCATGGTGGAGGCAACAACTGTGGATCATGAGATCACTGGAACCAGAATGTCCTGTTGGAGGGTCAGGGAATAGGAGGGCATCTGCCATCCATGCAGCCAGAGAGAAGCTTCCCCTTCCCGGATTCAAGCTGAAATGTAAAAGCATCAAACTTCAACTACAAAAAAGATCAGAGCTTCCTAAAATACACCCACCACCCAAGATTAGCAAATGTGAACATTTGTCATACTGGCTTGCTTCGTGTCAGAATATTTTTAAGATAGAAAAGACTTCAAACACACCCACCCAAAGAGCTAAAAAGAAAGTGATGGTGACCAGGGCTGAGGAAGCAGCAGGCATTCTCTTGCACTGCCTCGGGCAGGTGGCCAGGAGCCCCTCTAGAGGAAAGGCAGTTCTCAGAACTCCCTAGCCAAAAGGCCAGGAAGTGATTGGTCTCTCTTCTCCTCTCTTTCCTGGGGTTGGAACTCAAGGCCTTCACACTGAGCTCCATCCTCAACCCTTTTTATGTTTCATTTTGAGACAGGGTCTTGCTAAATTGCCCAGGCTGGGCTCAAACTTGTGATTCTCCTGCCTCAGCCTCCCCGAATGCAAGGATTACCAGCATTGGGCCACCATGCTCGGCTTCATAGATTGATCTTGTTAAGGGCTGGGTCCTGCAACCAATTCTCCTCAATTGAGGAATGACAGCACTGCTAGAAATAAAAAGAAACTGTCACTACATTCGACATTATGGATGGATCTCAAAACCAACATCTTCTTTGTAAATATAGTAAAAAAACACTGAATCACACACATTGAAAAGGGTAAATTGTGTAGTCTCTGAATTTTATCTCCATTTAAAATAAAGCATGTGTCATGAAAAGAGCCCCCAAAACCACATGCTGATGATGCCATGTTGTGTAAAGTCAAACACACACTTGTAATCTGAGCTAATCTAAGAGGCTAAGGCAGGAAGATCACAAGTTTGAGCCCATCCAGGGCCATTTAGGACACTGTCTCAAAAATACAAAGGGCTGGGCTGGAGATGTAGCTCAGTGGCACCACGTCTGCCTTGCCAGTGTCAGGTCCTGAGTTCAATCCCTGAAACTGGGAGGGAAAA